ATATATATATATGAACATATATATTTCATATTTCATATATATATATATATATATATATATATATATATATGAAATAATACAGTGAAGTCGCTAGAACACTTTAATGCATTTTTAAAACTATTCTAACTGTTCATTTATTATTATTCACGCACTATGCATTGCGCGTACAAAATTATTAAAAAAATGTTACATAAAAACTATAAATACAATTATCTAACCTGGGTTGTGTACAGAGTCTGGTTTAGAATTTTTGATGCCCCGGCCAAAAGACAAAAATCAGCCTATTATTATTGTAATATAAATAAAAATTAAAAGGATTAAATTTAGTAGATGGGCCCCTGATCCGCATGGGCGCTGGACAAATACCCATAATGTCCTTGCGTAAATAAGGCCCTGGTTGTGTACATTCATATAAAAAAATGGTTAAAAAATACAATGAACATTTTGTTGGAATTCAAATATTAATCAACTTACCCGGGTTCATTGCATTCAAAACACATAAATTATGATCTTCAAATATATTGAATCAGTTTAACTACCTATGCTGTACGGCCTTTATAAAAAAAAAAACAAATATCTTCTAAGATATTGACTGGGTCATAGTTAATCAATCACTCAGTACTCCGGTCCACCAGAGAAGGACCTGCGCAGAAACCTAAACGCGGCTGCGCGTTAGACCATACGAAAACTGGTTTAGATAGAATTACATTTTTCAGTTTTGTTTTTAAAAAATGAAGTAACTAAAAATAATTTTTAAAATTGTGTCACCATCGATGCTTTGTAGATAGTACAAAAAATTCAAAACGTTTTTTTTTTTTTTGCAAAACTTAAATCGGTGTATTCTTAAGAACGCATACTGTTCGAAGGAGAAACATATTATTATGTCATTGTACAAAAATAGAGCCTGTATGCGTTACGCAAAGTCTTTGTCGTGTCAATATAAGTTATATAAGTTTACAAATTATAGTCAAGTTTTATTGAAAATTGCCTATACAATGCGCCTGTTAATAAATGTTTCTGCAGAGGCACCTTAACGGAATGTCCAAGGCGGGACCGGAAACGATGATTAATTATTTTTGGATTCAAGAAACGTTTTTGGGTGTGCGGCGGTGGAGAAGAAAACCGGACCGAACAAAAGTAAACACTGTCATATTTTTGTTGCTAATTTAATATGTATACATATATATTATATATTACATATATTTATATGTTAGTAGGTACGTCAAAGCGCGCGCAAACACACAAAGACGCGGAAACAAAGAAGAGTACAACGTTCCCGCCAAAAAAAAGCCAACGAATTGACTCACTCGGTAAAAAATGATAATGAAGTTTGAACGTTTGACACTTACTTTTTTCTCCCGCCAAAATCACCGGCTATGACCACCGCCGTATACACGTGATGTCTTAGGTTCGTAGGACCGTAGGCTCGTCTCGGAGGACAATACCGTGTACATTAACCACTTTTATTATTATTATTTTGGATGGCTGATGAGAAAAAAAGTCGCGGGCACACGTGTACACGAAACACAACCCAAGGTCGGGTACGGCGATGGCAGCACACGAGTTCAAGGCTCAATACTTATGTGCTGGATATGTGTGTCGTCACAACGGCAACAACCGCGACCTCGTTTCGACACGGTATTCTATATTATTATTGTGTTTCATCCGTGTTATGAGCGATATCAATCAATTAATATTTGATTGAAAACAAAAATAAAATCCGTTTATACTTGTAATCAATTATTGTATGTATCTGCCAGTACTCAGGCTCGAAAAAAAAAACCCCCATAGATTTACCATTAAACATGTCCAATGATTGGTTATTTGTAAGGCATTCTTAGATAGGTTAGTTTAAACACGTTTAAGAGCAGTTATAAACGTATAAAAAAATGATAAAAATCTAGTGCCATAAGACGTGGTTTCTAAAAACTTTTCAAAAATCAACCTTATCAAAATTTGCATAAAATTCTTTCTGGAACTTAATTTGGTATACTTTCCCGTCGAAACAGCTCAGTTGATAATTCCACAGAAAAGTGTATCTGTGTTGTCAAAAAATGTCTACTTGACTCCTTCAAAAACAAGCGGTGTGGGGTCCTCTTAATTACTATTTACTTATATTTTGGAAAACGGTACAATAACATAAAGAGTACATACAAGTTCTAAAAGAAAAATATTCGACTTTAAATCTGGCATGTGAATTATTATTGCCAAAGTCTTATCCAGATAGCTTTAACGGATTCGACTCTGTATCCTGCTATTATTTTCCACCAAATTTTTTTTTCTTAAAATTTAGATTTGAATACATGGAATAATTGAAAAAAAAATTAAGGTTTTTGTACTTAACATTTAATTTTTAAACCGTTTAAATTTGAATAGATCAATTAATAAATTACACTGCACAATTATATACACACTGCCGTGTACTGGATGATGATGATGATGATAAATGATGATTATTCTTATTATTATGTAAAATACACAAGAAGCAATGTTATTGTTTTTTGTAATTGCGACTGGTAAAGCACGAGCATCGCAAGGACATCAACGTGTCGGTCACTTTGTCAGAGTCGTCGCATCTTACTAAGTGGGCTTGCCATTACGTCATTATAGGGAAGGACAGCAATATTGAATATGTACATAATTTCAAACGTTTTTTTTTTCGGACGTCTGAACATTTTATAACGCATTTGAATATTATAGAACAATGTTTTTGTTCACTTTAAAACTTTCCAATTGCAGACGGATGGTTCTAAATCTACATATTGTACTGATTTTCTTTAGTATAAAGTATATACTTGTACACATAGTAACAAGTTTTTTCAATTAAACTGGCCAAACGGACGACTCAATAGAGTATCAAAGAAACATCTGAGCAACTGAGCAGTTTTAGTGTAAAGGTACATGTAAAGCGGTTATAATTTAATCTAAATTTGTATACAAGCGATTTTCTATACAACATGTTTATGCAAAATTAAAAACCTAACAACAGTGATTTATAATCACTTTTAAAAATGAATAAAAATTTAGATAAAAACCTAGGGTTAAAAAGGTACATCTCTTAAGACTTGTTTTTTTTAATAAAAATACAGCATCGTTTTAAGTGTTGGAAAAAATATTAAGTTAGGTACAATACTGAATTCCCTTTGTTATGTTAATCTATGAGTAACGAGTATACTTACTATAACTTCATATCAATTTTATTGAAAAACTGTTTATCTTTGCTTAGCTGGCGTAGCTTCCTTCTATGTTTGAAATTTAACGTAATAAGAGTAAACGGTTTTTAAAGATAATGTTTGCTTTTTATCACTTTTTATACATAGGCATATAAGTATATGTTAAATATTAAAAGTATGATCCAGGAAATCCATTATCGGGCAATAAAAATTAGTTATGTTTCTCAAATCTTCATTTTAAAAACAATGCATTTTTGATTGACGCAAAAAGTAAATTCTTTTGTTGTCGTTTTTTATTTTTTAAATATTTTTGCTGGCAATTTTAAAATCCTTTGAGACGTGCAATCTAATACTTTGACCGTCTTTTTCTTTAAACATTTGATTGGTTGTAATGAATCCTGGAAGAACATGTGTTAAAATAAATAAAAATACCAATTATGAATAGCCTCGCATTATTTTACCGTCAAATTGTTACTAAGTTGTTTTAATTGTTTTCGAATAGCAGACTTTTTTTCCAATCCGATCACTTTGACCCTCTTCTTGACGATAGCTGTTGTGTGATTTTCATTAACACTACAATATGAATCGCTCATTATTCACAAATTATTTCTAAAATTTGATATTCAAATGTTATTAAAAAGATTATACAATATGACGTTTTATTGGTTTTTTATTATTATGGTTTAGTTGCCAAGTAAGAATGACAGCTGATAAAATATAATTTCCTAATATAATTTTTGCCAAATTATATTTGTAAGACTAGAAAAATTAATGTTCTTTGAATTAAATTAGTTTAATTTTGCGAAATTATGTTTAATCAATAGCTTGAATTTAAAGCAGTTGATGTAAAACTGTCCAATATAATTTTTAAACACTATTTGACTGGCCTAACTATACATTTTTTAGTTGGAGTGACAAATTAAATAGCTCGGCCATCTGAATGCTTAGTTAAAGCAACTATACATTTGTGTTTCCTGGATACGTCCACTTCTAAGGGTTGAACTATTAGTTAAATCATTTTCAGGTCTATCCATGTTGTCAAATGATAATATTGTCATGGCGTGACAATATAAATAAATGCGAAAATGATCAAACTAACTTAACATTTAATTGGCCTAACTATTTATTTATTTTAACCAAGTATACATTTTTTTGTGTCCCTGTTTGAACTATAATATTTTCGCATAATGGTTAATTATAAACCAAGTTAGTATTACAATACCTACGTTCATGATTTGCAAACGAATTGCAATAACGAAAAATATATATATCTAAGTCAGCCATGTTGGTATATATATATTAATCTCTATCAGGGAGGTAAAGATCTCTCCTCCAGATTCATCTCAGATTCCGATTTGTCAGCACCGACGTAAAACTGTTGAGAACCGTTCAGTCGTGTAAATTTGTACTTTTTTTGTCTTATTAGTACATACAAATTGCAGTTGTATTTTTTGTACGCATCATAAAATTCGAATTTAATCTTACAAAGTGTTTTGCACGCAAACAAAAAAATTATAATATTTAACGCTGATGTTTGTTTTAATAAAAAGTTGCACGTTTGCAATTTTTTATGTATTCGTACAACTAAGACGGGGAAAATGATTACTCAAAATAATACATTTAATTACAAATTACTCAAGCAAACTTAACACTGTTTACCTTTACATACAATATATAGAAACCGTTTGTTTCTTACGATTTGTAAACCATGTACAGCAATAATGGAAACAAAATAAGTCAGTCGGTGTCGCGTTTTTAACTTGTATTTATATATTATGTAATTAATGGGGAAAAAACATGCACACAAGGTTTAATAACCGAAGGCGCCTATTTGGTCGGCCACACGCGCTTCCACCAACCCTTTGCCGTGTCGCTATCAGAGTCCTGTTGTGACGTGGCAGCAGCGTTAGAAGAAGAGTCTGTGTGGCGCATGGGAAGCGTCCAACGTTTCCAAATACTGTCATTGGCCGCTTCCGCGTTTGCATCCGGAACGCTTGGAATCTCAGCGGGCGCCTTAGTAGACCTCATGCGGTTCTTAACGCTCTTCTAAACAAACATTGTATGTGGGTGGAAAACATTGGGTCCAATGCGATTAACTACTAGTTGTATGACGTGTTTCCAAGTTGGACGAAGGACTTACGAACAATTTTGTAACTTTAGACGGATTTGTAGAATCTTGAGCGCTTTCCGCCGCACTGTTTCTACCAGTTCTGTCCGCGGTACTCGAACCGGCCAACTTGGTATGATTCCAGTTGCTCGACAGTTTCCTGTTTAAAGCGTGCGCAAGCGTGTTGGACGTCAACGAATGGCCCGGATCGTTCATTTCGATGTCGAGTACCTGAGTGTCATTCTCGTCGGTAACGTCCATCCTGCAAGTTAAATATCATCACACAAAAAACAATAAACAAATTGCGAACAGGGCCGTCTAGCATAACACAGAGGAATCCTAATTAAGTATATTCCGATGCAGAAATAACAAACTGCCATCGCCCATTTCATTCAATTGCATTTCAGTCCAAAAACCATGTCTATAGTATAGTAAGCACGAGGCACTCGGCCCCAAATGTGTCTCAGAGTACTTCCGGTATCTGGCCACCGTCCATTTTCCTTTGGGCGTTCTTTTGAATAAAAATGACCCGAATACCGTCTAGACAACTTTACTATTTTAAGCGCGGCGTATGAAATACTGGCGCGAATTCTAGTCCGGCGCCATTTCCTCAGCCTCCCAACACTCTTTAAATACACTTAGAACCGAAATAGATTTTGAAACAACTATTTCTTACGTCCTTGTGAACATAGGCGAAACGATAATTGTCACTTGCTGTCTATTCGGTGATCCGAACCACCTTTGTGTGCATTAAAATAAACGTCAATGTTTTCTTTGTGAAAAAGCACCTATACAATATGACAATCTTCGAGAAAATATCATACATGAACAACTTTATTTTGAAAAAACAAACAGACAGAGTTGCCTTGCGACACAGTTTATCGATCAATACCACGTACATAGTTAACAGAAATTAATTTTAAAAACAATAAAACAGAATGAAATAAAATGTTATATTTTATAAAATAAAATAAAACATAAAAATTTACAATTAAAGACAATTATAGTTATTATTATAGATATTCGATTGGAAATGTCATCGTAAATCGTATAGGCGGGATTTTCATCTTAAGATATCGAGTTAGAGGCGGCATAGATTTAATTCCATTGTAACATACAAGAGAGGTACCGCAGCACAGTGGCTAGAATCCGAAAAAGGCGATGAAAAATCGATTTTTCAAAATGGCCTAAAGAGACCTAAATTGTTTATTAGTTATTAACTAGTTAAGTACCGTAGTATATAAAATTACCCAGTTTTAATTTATAATATTTTTTTTTTTTGCTACTCTAACTGCTGGGTTAAACGTTTTAATTAAATTAAATTTAATTAGTTATATTTTTATTATTTTAATAAAATTAACTTAAATAAGTTAATTTTATTAGTTTAATAATGCATAGTAAAGATATAAAATCTACTTGAACCCTAAACCATAAAAATTATACACTTCTTGCGTACACGTGTTACGACAACGATGTTGTCATCTTCAGCGCTAACAACAGACTAATGTATGTTTAAATTATTTATAAATCACAAAATCCTTTCGCCTAAGTCACTTTTAATGCTAATATACCCCAAAAACATATAATTTGATATTTTTTTATGTTTTTTAATCAAAAGTTTAGAATTATATTGTTTTTGATCGCTTTTTTTGGATTCTAGACCATTGAGGGTGGTGCTTGCTGTTTGAGGAAAATTTAGTTTTGGTACATAGCTAGTAGAGAATTACAAAGTCGATAAAATAGTTAAAGAATAAGTCGGTGTTGAACTTATACAAAATAAATTATGTTTTGTGTATTCCTTTAAATTCGATACAGTGAACTACATATTAATGTAACCCTTCGGTCCTTTTTGTTTGGTGGTTTTTTCGACAGTCACGTCGTACGTGTCGACTGTCGACTTATGGTCATTATTTGACCGATCAAGTATAAAACGGACGTTCTCTATAATATATACCTACTTCCCGTACAAGTATATAGACTATTCACAATTATCTCCATGATGTAACTAGATAATATTTGTATGCAACGAATAATCGCTCGACTATCGTTTATAGTACAACAAAGCAACGATTGCACGACCTTGACAAAAATCGAATAGATCTATTCCATGTCTAGTCGGTTCTTGTTTTTTTTTTTATGCTTGGAAAATTAACAGTCTAATCGATGTACACTTCTGCTTTGGCATGATATGACAGCGTTGGAGGGACACTGTACAACAATATTAGATACAGAGCATAGCTGTTGTAATTTGATTGCCATTAGAACTATGGTCAATGTTGTAGTAACATGTCACTATGTCATAAATGCAATATTATATACCAAGGGCGTGGAAATCGAAACTTAATAATTATCATCATCGTCTAAAGTAAGAAATGGGAGCAAATAAAAGAGTTATTCCAATAATTTTAGTAACAGTACTTTACTATAAATCGGTTAAAATGTTATTGTGTTATTTGTTGTTTCAGGTTATTCTCATAGACATATTAACAAAGGCGGATCTAATTTATCGGCGCCCTTTGACTAACAAATTACAAGCGCCCCTACAAATGTCAGAAATCCGACAATGCATGTACACACAACAACAGTTACGTTTCATTTGTTATTGTTCCAGCAAAACGCTCCGACCTGCTAATAAAAAATATTTACAATAGGTATTTAGTTTTGCTCTAGTGATTTTAATTATGACAAACTCAAAACTTAACTCGGATAGATTAATTGCAATAAGAACAGGCCAAGCACAAATGACGTTCACCACTCAAACGTGGAAAAAAAGAGTTAAACGTTAGAAGAAGTCCAAAATGATCGTTTCTACAATAAACGTTTGAAAATTTCACAATTTTTTTAAGTTTCCAAAAAAGAATCAATTTTTTCCTGGCCATAAGTTATCTCTTTCTTTATAAAAAAAATGTGTAACCTGTTGATTTTTGTAGATAATAAAATATTTAGTATTTTTTAATTAGTAGACACATAAATACAAAACTAAATTATCACTAGGTGCTTTTTGCGCGATCAGTGATTTGTATGTTTGTAATATTGTTGAAATGTACATTTTACAATTATTAAACAAATTTGACTTGATCCTTTTTGTTTTTTACTGCAAATAGTTGCACTTTGACATTATCTGACGGTCTAACGGGCCGTAGTATTTTTCTGGCGTACTATCGAAAAGCACAATTTTGGACTTGACCGCGTCGTACATGAACGGGAAGGGGGGGAGGGGGTCGATAAGCATAAGTTCCACTCCTTATGTTGTGTGACGGTCGTTTCAGAGCGTTATTCCGCAGTAGTCTCGTTCGATTAGACATATTCGATTATAATTGTTTGATAATAAAAAAAAAACAACACGTGTCCCGTGTCTAGACGCATATAATTATATAAGCGGTTGCTAAAACGCAAAAGTTTTTTTTTTAATTTTTTTATTATCCCGACGTCCCCCTCTCCGGATCCGGTGCTCACACGCTTACACGTCGGTCGTCTATGTTATATTATAACGTCTAATATGATGTGTCCAAGGAACTTTAGAGGTACGCACACACGCACGCACACGCACAGGGCAAGTGCGTCTGAAAAAAAAATCGGTAACAATATGAACGAATAATAAATGATAAAAATATGCGTGTGAGAACGAAGGTCTTTGGATGTCGGACGACCGTGAACCTCTCCGGCCGGTGTCCTTAAAAGTGTGCGTGCGCCGTGTAGACATACATATACAACAGTATAGTGGCACGGCTTTCATTGTCAAGTTCACGTTAAATAATACCCGCGGCGTAGCGCCTGTGCGAATTAGTCGTTGTAAAAGAAACAACAACAAACAACAGCTAAGCATACCGAAGTAAACATCTTAACTGTATAATATACCGGCAACATAACACTGCAGGCGTGGGCGGCCTACCGTGGTCTCTTGGGGTGCGGGTAGTGCTTTCAAAAAAAAAACAAAAATTCCCTCATTGTGCTGCTGTTTCCTAACTGTGCCCCGACAAACCCACTTAAAAGGCTTTTAAAATTTGTTTTTATTCAGATACGGCTTCCGCGGCTATATGTCATTACAGCTAGCCGCACAAATAAAATTATTTTTACTAGTACTAAATTAATAATTTCTTAACTATGTACAATAATATGTCATGTTACCTGTATTTTTGTGTATAATTGACGGCCAATACTACTGGTACGCAGTCTAGTAAAACCACGTTTAAGACTTCAGTACCCGTTTAACAATTTAGGTATACGATTAAGCTAAATTAAACAATAACAAGTTGATACATTAAGCATGCATATTTAATAAGTTAAGCCGTAATATTATGTTTCCTGATTGAATATCGAGAAATACACATTTTTTTAAACAAAATTATAACGAAAATTTTACTTAGCAACCCTTTAATCAACCGATATCGATTATCGATACATGTCATCAAGTTCTTATATCTACTATCTTGATACCATCTATCTTGTAAATATATTTAGTTGTATATGTATCAATAAGGAGTGTCCTCTGAATATGTGCAATCTTTCTATCAAATTATATATTATTGATTTTGATACTTTCGAGTATGTATTATAAATTACAGTTTATTAGGCTCATTGGTTGGGAAATAAAAAAAAAATGTGAAAATAAAATACATTATTTTATATATACTACTAAAAAGAAATATATATATATATATATATATCAACCAAGGGCATTTTTATTTAAAGTTTAAGCGATTAACAGTCTTTAAAAATGCATATCAAAGAGAATATACACAGTTTCTAAGTAAATATACGTAATATACAAAACATGTGTGAGGTTCTAATCCAATCATAGTAGCCCCGTTCTTAATCTAATTAGACTAAGTCGAATGTCTATAAATATATACAAATTACAATCTAATTTCATTGGGTAAACGCATTATAACCATATAACATTTTTCTATGATTAAAAACTGTTCATTTATTTTGCATTACCCTATTTTTATCCAATTATACCCAACTGACTCTAAAATATAACTGATCTTGCATTATAGTACACATTACATTTTAATATATATTACAACTTTGAATTGTCTCTCTATTTAATTTTAAATAACCATTCTGAAATAATATTAAATAAATTTAACCAAATAAAAACATAGTCGTCTAAATTTTAATAATTTATTTCTTATAGAAAACAACTGCGGAAAATGCGCACAGTTTTAATTTGTTAATCCGAATTAAGCCAACCGTGTGTTTATAAATTTACATTAGTTGCTTCCCATGTTTATAATTCACATATTATACAAGCATGATGTACATTTCTATACTTGCATGTATTTTTTTTATACTTAGAAGTCATATTTTATTAAAATGCATAATACATAAACAGCATAATTATTGAAGGAAATGTGAAAGCTTTATTCACATAGGTAATTGTTATAGGAATCATTAAATATGTAACAAAAACCTAAAATTTCAACTGCAAAACTTTACATATAATTACAATTTACACTGAAACGAGTAAACAATCAAATTATATCCTATATTTTAATTTATACGGCTAAACTAATTAATGTTACAATCTGGATAATTGTATTCGAGACTTTAGACCTGGTTGGCGCCAAGTGCGTGACCGGAAAATTTCCCGTGCCGTGGTTCAATTTGCAACAATTCAGCGTGGGTTCGATAAACAATATATGTATACAACAATTAATTTTAATAAACCAGTTAAACGCAATATATAGCTATATTCATCGGATTACGAGTCATTAAAAACAATTAATGGTAGATATAAGTTACACTAATTAGAACTGTCAAGAAAATTGTTGTCACCTAAAAAATCTAGTACTAGTATTCGTCGTGTAAAATCACTTATCTGAATGTTAGTACTGTCGCCAGTAACCTGCTCCTTGCACAATAATACATAATAATTAAGTGATTAATTTAAGTATTGTTTAATTAATTAAGTATTGTTAAAATGACACCCCAGGTTTTTCTAGATTTTATCTAACAACAATAAACAAATGTAATTACAATTTTAAAATAGTTGACCGTTTAAACCACTTGAGGTAAAGTCGTTAACTATATATATTATAACTATTACATATACTTTTATCTCCTACAACTATAATGAAAATGTATTAAAACATGAGTAATTTTTAATTTGTTATCAGTGATAGTAAATTATGCTGTTCGACAACTGTTATGAAAGTAAAATACTCGATTATAGTTCATGACATTTTGATATAAAATGAAAATTCTTGTCAATACAAACAATCGTAAAGTGTCTCGGAAGTAAAATGAAAATTTCACTCATAATTACACGTAGCCGGTCACGGTAAATTCATCGACTTGCCCGGCCTTGACCTTGAGTGTCTTAAAATTGTTTTCTAGCATGACCCAGATTGGATTGCGTGTCTCGTTTGATCATTTCTAAATTCACTCTACCACTCTCCCGCCGCACAATCTACACATAAGGGCCAGTACAAAGTTCAACCGTCGAAAATATTAATCAAAAGCGGATTTATTTTCACACATGGGTGAATATAAATCATTCGGCTCAAGTTCACGCTCGGTATATTGTATTGTATCGTTAAATCGTATTATTCATACATATGTACGTCATATTATACACTGACAAACGCACGAATTCAGCGAGAGCGAGTAAGACGGTACGTGACCGAAACGTACAACAAATTATAGTAAGGCTCGACGGCGACAGATGAAAAAAGTAAAAAAAAAAAAAAAAAGTAAAGACGGGGGCGGTTAAAAGACACTCTTCTTGGTGGTAAAACGTATGCGCGTCATTAAAAGCCCTCCTCGTCGCCGTGGCGTTTACGACGGTGTCGGCTATTTCTAGTCGTCGGTTGCTGACATTAATTTCATTCCATGCACTCATTATATTCTGTAACACAACATCGCCATCGGCAGTGACACTTTTCTCCATCTCTCTCCACCTCTCTCTCTCTCTCTCTCTCTCCGACCCCATATCTGTCCACCCCTCCCCTCCCCTAACCCGAGGCGAGTCGGCTTTAAAAATACCAAACGTAAAAGCCAATATATTCCCGACCACACGTCCGTGTCGTTGACCTCCTCCTCCTCCTCCTCATCCTCTGCAAAGTTATACATACACCTAAAATATGCGCCGTATATGTACAAGTTTTAGGGGCATGTACACAGTGTACACTAAAAGTCTAAATTTATATATATATATATATTATTATAGTCAAACCATGGGAAAACATAAAAAGGTATCCACGGTAGTAAAGCGTGGCCATCCAAAGTCTAAGCTTTAGTTTAAGATATAGAAGTTTAATAACACAGACCAGGAAGGAGGCCTCTCTGCTCGAGTGACTTCTCGAGGGTCACCACCAGTCGCCGCAAAAAGTTTCCACACGCTCAGCTACAGCAGCTGCAACTTATTGTAGTTATTAGCCATTAGTTGTAATGTAGCATAGCTAACAATAGTAACAGTCTTCAATAACTTTGTATTTGATTTGTTTTTACCTGTTTATTTATATTTTTTACTGTGGTAACTCATAACACACGTCTTACAGTATAATATCTTTACAAAGAACTCGAAACCGTTAGTCACACATCACCAAATATGTATATTGAACAAAAGAAATAATTTAATTTTCCTTTACAACTCGTGTCTCGTTGAACAAAATATTATTATCATAATATAAATGATAATTTGAAAAAGGCATTATGTTCACAAGAACCGTACTTCAAAAGTCTATGTAAGTACAGCAATGCCCAGAAGTGAGTAAGAAAGGTAATTTTGAATTTTCCATTACAAAGAACTGCCAGGACAGCTCAATCATATTATGATTTATCTAATATTGGAAATTTAATGAACTTGTATTTGTTCTTTTTTATGTCATCACAACTGACAATACAAACACACGCCGAACTGTACACAATTCTCTTACATAGATGGTTTAAGTTTAATAATAGTTTCAGAGTTTCTTGGAATAGGGTAAGGTATAAACGTTGTTGTCTGCGCTGATATTCTCTAAAATCACACAGCTTATAGTGTTACAAAATACAATCATCAGAGTCAAACGGTAACGTAGAAAAGATATTGTTAAATTTTATTAAAATTAATAGTAATTTCCATTGTTATGAAATTCACAAGCAGGGATCTTAACAAGTTTAAGCAACAAGTACCGATTCCATAGCACATGTGCATCATGATAATATTACCTGTTGGGGTATATAATATTATAAAATATAGGAAATAACACATTTAGACATTTATTTATTTATTTATTTTTGAACCTATTAAAAAGAAAATATTATATATTATTTCTATATTTCTTTTAAACGAACAAAACGAATGTCACATTATATTATTATCAACTCATTGACTAGTACAGAAATATAATTCCATTAATATTGGTTATCTTCAGTATGTGTGTGTGTTTTGAAGTGTCACAGAAAATATTTTCGTCTAGTGCTATTTTGAAAGGGAGGGGGGATGAATTGAAGACCCGGCAATTATGCCTAATCATAAAAAAAAAAACCTCAGTCTTATGTATTTAGATAACAATGGCCATAAAAACTGGCCTCCGTTGCCGAAAAACAAGGTTAACCTCATTTCATAGTATGGTTTTATACATAACATTATCCTTGGAAATATATTATAGCCCCATTGTAATTTTTAGTTATCGCCGATGTAAAATTGATTTTTTTTCTCATTCTTCTTTCTTCTTGTTTTTTTTTTTTTACAACAAATGACCGGTGTGTGTGTGTCTCATTGTGAGTAAAAAAGTAAAAACGGCTTATAACCACTAAAGCTATAGGGGACGCGATGCCGTAGCGGCGGAGGTAGCAACGACATTTTCACATTATGTGTATACTTATCACTTTATTATTATAGTACACAATAATAATAAGAGGGAAAACACTATAACGGGTTAATTGTTATTGTATTATATCATTTTGAAATGGCGCTTTCACGACAGGCACGCGTCATCGTCTGCTCGAGGGAGGAAAGAAACAACAACAAAAAGAAAAGGAATTTTTTTTTTTAATTTACACAGGTATTATGCTTAAGTATGTAGGTAATAATATTTTATACATATATAAATTGATTGAAAATACGGTTTGTTTGTCAACCGAACATTTGGAATGTATAGTATTATACATACACACAAATAGGATAAACCAAAATAGTAGTGGGCGGACTAATAATACATGCAAATGTCCTTCAACGATGAGTAAATATATTATAATTTATAAATACCGAATTAATCAATATTACAAACATGTTTCTACGTTAACGTTAATTCCCAACGACTAAAACAATACATTAGAAAACATATCAAAAGAAGAAGAGGTTCAAGACTAAGTTTAAAAAACTAAAATTCAACAGGGGAAAATGTCCAACAATCTTCTAACAGTGTTACTATGGTAGCTTATGTATGTAGATTATATTGCGATGAAGGAATATTAAGTATTAACCCGGTCGTATAAGTTTTCTTTTGATCACACCGCTCCCTTTGCCGAACCTAAATATTGGAAAATACTAAAAAAGTTATCTTGACCGCATAATATAATGTTTATTATGCATAACTGCGTTGACCCGGCCCGACTAGAACAAAAAAATGTTAGGCTACTTTGCAAGAATAATAAAAAGTTTTAAATGTTTTTTTTTTACAAACGTGAAAACACTATACAATAACTTGCCTTTTATTACGTATTTTTTTTTTTTTAGGATTGAAATGAAATATTATAATTATTATATAGTATAGAGCCGATCCCATTTCGTAAAAAATCGAATTTATTGTTATCGTTTTCTCGTGCCGTTAAGACCGTGGGCGGCACGCTTTTTGAGTCTCGACAAACTACATTAACAGCTGCAGACGTAAAGGATATGTATAATATTATATTTTGAAAAAAAAAGTTTTAGTACTGTTCCAAAAATCAGCGGGATACACGATTATTGTCGTCAAAAAATCATACTTTCTAAACGAATAAGCGCGATAAATCTTTTAGCCAAACTCTTGGGTCCATGCCGATTAGTGACAAATAAAAATTAACTGTTACTGACATATTATTATAGGTCGCGGACCACCAACGAGTTGGTCGTTGTTTGCTTTGCTGCTTATCAAACCTTTTAGTTGGCAAAAAAAACTTTTATAAACGAAAAAACATTAGCATATTTCAGCAGCTATCTTTTTTATCACTAATCAGCTCAATGCCCAGAACCTGTTTCCTGCTACCTATGAAGCCGGCGTTGAACATTGCATAAGAGAGAAATGAGAATAAAAATATGTGTATAATGATGTTGGACTAGGTTAGAAATAAGTTAGATGTAGATTTAGTTTGGAGTTGAGAGAGACTGATTGAAATGATTTAGCCATGTTGAAATAAACAAAGGAATATAGATGAAAGATAAAAAAATACACGGAGGTGTGTGTAGTATAATACAGAGAAATGTGGAGAGTAATGATTCCTCTCAATGAATGGAATAAAACATGATAGAGAAGAGGAAACAGTCATAAAATGTCTTTATTATTTTACTGTTTATTGCAAACGGTTCTAAGTATGTACCTAATGCCCTACATGTTTTGCAAATAAAAATAAATTTTTTAACTGTTCGAAGCAAGGTCGTACTCAGAATGTAGACTTCTAGGCTGAATCTGTGGTGCGAGCACTTCTGGCCGGAACACCCTCATTAAAACTCTCCGTCGGAAATGATTAACTACAAGTATAGTACTTTAGAGTAATTATCTAACAAAAAAATATATAAAAAAAACCGGTTAATTTTAATATAGGTAAAGTAGCATTTAGGTAAGCATTTAAAAGAAAATGGACTGATGAAAATGAAGAATGAAGAAAATTGAAAATCTACAAGGTATTCAACGATGTTCTCAATTATGTGAAAATCGGTTTTTCAGATTTAAATATAATTGATAACATATTGTAATTTTAAGTAAACGTACACGTGTCAGGCGAATGCAAGATAAAAACAAAAGAATTTAACAAAAAACCTAATTCTATAAATAAATAAAACCACTCATTAAAACTAGATGGTCCAATTAATATGGTAGCTTATACAATATTGAATAAAATAACAATGTTATACCTGTTTTAATGACGTCTGATATTTTCTTTATTTTGACATCTGCCGTCTCGTGAATCGTAAACAAAATATAAGATAAATACAGGTAACGTAAAAGTGACTCACTTTTCAAACAACCTTAATTTCTTAATTAAAAAAAAAAAGTTTAAGTTTAAAAATACCCTATAAAACCAATACCTTCTCTGCTACGCATCGAAGTTAAAATAATAATAGTGTTGTGACGACTTATAAAGTAAAAATAAGTTGGGTTATGTATTAGGACTTAATTCTTAGAATTTTATATATAAAGGAAATTGCAAAGTATCACCAAACCTATGTATGCTTTAATTAGTCAAGTGTACATGAATGGAGTCATAGTT